CCCCAAAACCCCAAAACCCCAAAACCCCTAGAATTCAAATAAATCTAATTTGAGGTAGTGTGATAAATTATTAATTAAGTTAAGATGACAAATCAGATTGGCTGCGTAATATGTTACTAATCAGTTGAGGAAATTCTAGAGCAAGATTGTAAATATGATGAATGCTCTTACTGTGAGCAATCATTTTGCCACGATTGCTTCAAGGAATGGATGATTCAGCAAATTAAGAGCAAGCATTTTAAGCGATTAGACAAGGTGTTGCTTAAGTGCTAACAAGAGAAATGTGAAAATACTTATAAGATGAGCCAGATCGCAAACATACTGGATCAAGAAAGATTCTATGAGGTAGATAGAGTTTTAACTTAAAAATTGCTCAGAGCAAATGATTCCTTCATAAATTGTCCGAACTCAGCTTGTGGCAATTATGGATTTCTAGAGGATGTATGCTGCCCAAACAACATAGAGTGCACAAACTGCAATGCTCATTTCAAATTGAGTTGCTAGCCTCACAGCAGTTTTAGGCTATCAAACTATCTGAGTATAGAAGCCCTATATAACAGTAACACCTACAGTGACCTATATAAGGTCTTATTTGCTTAGATGTGTCCATCTTGCAAGGTAATGATTGTTAGAAGCGAAGGGTGTAAGTTTATGGAATGTGCAAAGTGCTAGTATCAGTTTTGCTGGAACTGCTTGAGTGAATTCTATACTGAGTATCATTATTATGAGTCGATGTGTCCACTTAGGATAGTGCCCATCTATGGTGTAGTGTCTATATCCTTACTGTTTCTCGTCATCAAGATGTTTTACTAGATTGATTTCTTGAACTTCCTGGTAAAATGGATATTTTCAGCAGTTTTTTCTCAGTTGATTGGATTTGGACTTACTGTCCTGCTTATAGCATCTTATAGAAAATTCTATTTGCTGTATGAGTTGGTAAAGCAGCTCAATATCAGCCAGAAAACGTTATAAAACCAAAGAGGAGGCAGAGCATAGATTACGAAGCTAAAAGATAACATAAAAAATGAAAGTCTAGTGACTGCTTTGCTCATGATTGGAACTATAGCCCTTATGGCTCTAATAAGATAGATGAATCAACGAATGATGCCTGGTATAGGACCATAGGTGGTTAAAAGTGTTCCAATACATCTCATAATAGTAGGATTCGGTAAACTTATTAAATGGTATTCAAGTAGATGAAGACTGTTATACTGAGAGCCTAAGAGAATCAAGTTAAATGTGATAGGTTTTATCCTTATCAGATTATTTGTAGAATTATATAAGCTTAGTCAATATTTCAATATCATTTCAAAACTTTGAATCCCAATAAACTAGGGGTTTTGGGGTTTTGGGGTTTTGGGG